TCGATTTCTTAGGGTTTATTTGTATATATTTGACTGATATTACACCTATTCTAGAAAACTCGAAGTTGGTGTGTCGATCATCTCATTGCTAGTATTAGTTTTACTATTCTTCTTTAGATATCTAAAAAAAAATAGCTTAAGTTGACTTACGATACAAATATCCTATAGCGACGAAAATTTCGTTGCGCAACTCAAAAAGGAAAGCTTCCCAGCGGGGAATTAAACACTAGTCTCCCGCGAGCTGTCAATTGCTTGACAAGCGGAAATACTGACCCCTGTGTAACTATGGTGTTTGCCATGATATCTGTTAAATTTTCCGTTCCAGGTTACAGGAACCTGAAGCCAGAGTTCTGTTTTCTAGTAGTCATATTATTAATATTTCAACAGTAGCCGACATTTTGTCGCCCTTTTTAATTGAGCCACTCAGCATGTTGGTAGGGCTCAGTGCCTTATAGCAGCATCGTGGCGTTTAGTTGTCAACGCTGATTGGCTTTGTGCCACTATAAGCCCACTTTCGAAGGTCATGTAGCCCGCGAAGTCATCTTTCTAAGCCAAGGTCGATACGTCAGGTGCGATTAAGTGGAAGTTGTACAGTAGAGCCCTTCAAAAGGCTTTGCCCATGTTAGCGCAGTGTATCGAACAACCAAGCAACTTAGCTTGGCTAGTTGACTTCAGTTAATTACGCAATAAGCAACCACGAGGAGTGGGATATTCCCGCGCGGTACTGTTTTCGCGCAGCACGAAGACGCGCTTCGTCAATCAAGCTTGTCCTTGGAAACTCAACCTAACCATCGAGCTAGATAGTTTACTCTATACTACTCATCGCTATACCGAGTTGTCGTCAGTTGTTTTACCCAGGTATCTTACCCTACTAGACTAGAACTAACGTTCATACCCGAAAATCAAGAGATCTAGTATACTTGGGACTTTGTCCTGCGTACGACTTGAACAGGTGCTGAACCAATATAAACTATAAGAAGAGCTGGACTTGCTGCTAGGCTTAAAGAAGATGAGTTACGGCCTAAGTTGTAGAGTGTCCCAAAATGCGTGGAGAAGCAGAGCTATGTTTGCAAGGGTTACGTAGAGGTGTGCAAGCTACTTGTCTGTAAGGCACGTAATAGATAACGTAATTCTAAGTATGTTCAGTGTTTTAAAGCGTAAGCGCATTCCACTTCTCCAGGAGCGCACCAAGACTGCCTCGAACTTCGCTTATCTCTCTTAGATTCTCTGGCTCTCTACCCGGAAGACTTTGCACGTATTCCATTTGAGGAAATCCCCATTCAGGAGATACATCCTTGACGTCTTTGGGTGCTTCTCCCATGAATGAAGCTCTCGCTGCTGGCGGGACCTTCTTGCCCATTGCCCACACAACTGCCTCAATCGCACTCATCACGAGACGCATGGCAGGGATGTCCCAGACGCCGCGCCGCAAGGCTCCTGCCGCACGAGTGAACAGGTCCTGACAGATGGTCTCGTCCAGGAACGGAACTAGGGTCAAGCATACATGGAAGCAGCCATGCATAAACATGATTGTATAGTCGCTTGACAGCTGCGTTCGGAAGTGACACTCAGCCACCTCGACAACGTATTGGCAGTGCTCGATGCGAAGGTCCCGTGTTGTCGCTTCGTCGGCGAAGATGAGTTCGGCTTGCACTGGCCGGAGTATGAACATAGCTATCTCATCAAAGTGTATCCTTGACATAACGTCAGCTCATTAGATTCATCGGATGTGTCCTTGCTTTACCTCAAGATATTGGTACCTGGGGTGGAGTTCCTTTCGTTGCGTAGGTGACTGGGCAGTGCCTTGCGGAGCGCTTTCAATCTCTCATACAATCTCTTGCGTGCTCCAAGATTTTCGGGGGTCTCGGATTCAAGTACGTCCTTGTTGAATTGCGACACCTCATGCTCGAAAACTGTCAAATTGCATTGAGCGTTGAACACACCTGGTGCGAAAGGAGGTCGATATGAAGCACTTGTGTATGGTTCGTTCAGGATATCAATGTTGCGACAGACTTCCTGATCCCACTCTGGCAAATGGAACAAGCGAGGAACAATAGGCATACGAATGGCCGGCAATCGACCATGGAAGCTTGCTAATATACTAGCTTCCTCAGTGCCGAGATATTTAATTTATTGATCAAACGATACGTACCTTTCATAGCAATAGATGCCCCACTGCGCTTTGCAGTAGACCTGCTTCGCCAGAGGATCACGTGTGGTCTCCAGACGATTTTCGATGTACAGACGGTCGAGCATATCGTACCCGAGGTGACGATAGATCACTCCAGCCTTGTCTTGACCTAAGTAACAACTAACGACGAACATGATGAGCAAGCCCTGAACCGTGGCTAAGGATGGAGTCTCACGGACGTGACCAAGGTGGCGCCTTGCTTCTGCGTCGAAAGCTTTGATCAGATCATAAGCTGACACGGTCAGGATTTTCTTGACTTTTGTTGAGAAAAACTAGGTCAACGTGCTCAGTTGGTTCACGTTTGGCGATTTAAATGGAAGAGCCGACTCACAGACTGCCAAATTGCCATCAGTAAAGGCCTGTGAGAGATTCAAAGAAGATACGAGACATATGGTCGTCTGAATTTGAGCCCGCACACCGCAGATACCTTCGGCACGTGGCATGGAGTTCTCAGTTTCGTGACCTAGTCCACTTACCGATACACAGCAGATTGCATTGACAAGGAACGGCGAGCAGAACTCTGTCACAGCAAGGTTTCCTGCATCCATGTTCTTCAAAAAACATTTCAGATCAATGAAGGGTGTCATGTAGTTGCCATCCCATGCGAAAAATGAAGAGACCAGGGAGGACACGATACCGTCTCTAGCAACCAATGTCCATGGTCGCGCGCGAAGCTTGAGAGGACTTCTTCTCAAAGCCTCGCTGTCCAGCTTTTCAATTTCCGGATGCGAGGACACTGGCGATGTCGGGGTTGGATTGGGAAGCAAGATGTGCGCTTGCCTGACAAGCCGGAGAACTTGTACCGAGTCGGAGCTCGTGCGTATTCGGCGAAAGAACTCATATGCTTCTGTATCCGGCCGCTCGCGGATGAGGTCGAAGAGCTCACGTAGTTGGTCTCGTTCGGCTTCCACTTGATCGTAACGTCGTTTTAATGTCACTCTGCGGTTCTCGTCGCCACTCTCTACTGCGTATTCGCAGTCGATGTCTAGAGTCTTACATCTTGAGCAGATCGGCCGTTCGCCAGAACACTTTACCAATCACTGTCAATTATCTACGTTAATCAAAATGTGGAAGAGACTTGCCTTGGTCTTCTTCACGCGGCAAGCTTCGCACGCAACAATCCTTTTCAAGCGTTTTGGTGCAACCAAAATCGGTCGATTCGGCTTTGGGCCTGTTGAAGGGAGCAAAGGCTTAAGGATACGTCGGGGCTGAGAGTCCATAACTCACTTGATTAGGACGATGTCTAGGTCTTCACGGGATTGAAGCCGACAGTCCATACATATCATTGACGTCAGAGTGTTTTGTGGACAGTCACGGGTGCAGCTTGGATTAGCTGATTGGTTTGGCAAAGAGTTCCGCCCCACTCGAGTAATCTGGAAAATCTCTCAGCACCTACATAATAAAGCAAGCAGGCTGGTAACGCCATCCACCACCGAATGGCGCACCCCACCAGAATGGCGCACCTTGCCAAGACCCCACCTCTTTTGGCCATCACCAACAATGTCGCAACAAATTGATCTTGGATTACTTCTCGTTAAATGAGAATTAAGCTTGCTATTTAAGCTATAAAGTCTACAACGCGAACCTGAGCCAGCAACGCGTTGCTGCTGTCTACAACATGCCCGAAAGTACTCTTCGAAGGCAACGCGCCATACCAGCTTTTCAACGCGTTATCTACCCTGACTGCTCTAGGCTTACAAAGCAAGAAGGGGAGGTGCCTGTTCAACACATAAGAAAGCTTGATACGCGAGGGTTTGCTCCTACGCTTGCTTATGTGCAAGAGATGGCTGATCAACTATTGGCTGCTCGCGATGGGGGCAAGGTTGGAGAAAACTGACCTACAGGTTCATACAGCGGAAACCTAAGATTGAGTCTCAGGTTTCTAGACTAAGAGATTACCAGAAAGTTCTGTGCAGCGATACAGCTATTGTCAGTCCCTGGTTTGATCTTGTATGTAACGTCAAAGCTAAGCATGGGATCTTAGACCAAGATATCTACAACTTTGACGAGGCTGGCTTGCAGATAGGCATTGGAGGGTCATTCAAGGTATTGACTGCGTCCCAGAGACGTCGTGCACCACTCAGCCTTCAGCCTGGCGATCGTGAGTGGATAACTTTGATCGCTTGTATCAACGCGATGGGCTGGTCTATCCCACCCTGCTTCATCCTTAAAGCAAAGCTACCGTCGGCAAATTCGTGATGCACACCGACGCGTGATGCACATGCCACCAACATTGTGAGAGGTTTGGCATATAGAAATGGAGATATCAAAGATAGTATCAAGACTAATCCTTGGGGTCTAGTCCTAGGTTTGGAGGAAGTATTTATACAGTACGTGTCTGCATCCCTATTGGCCCGAGGGATGCCGCTAGAAGAAGCCCTTGTAGTACTAGATACCTTAAGACCTAGCGATTGTTTTTCGTACTAAGCTCTTGCCTAGAAATACGGTTATTGCTACGCGACGTTGAGCTACAGGCACCGCGGAGTATACGCTTTAAATAAAGTATGTAAAATTTAAATACTAACTCTTACTTAATTTACGCATTAAGGTAGAGGTTAGAGGGTATATTAGAGGGTTAATAAAGTGGTGGCCTATATCTACAAGGTAAATAATCGCGGATATTATCGCGTACTTCACTATATAGGAGTAGGCTGGTAAATGTAACTGCACAGGCAAGATCTGTTCAGATTAGTGCCGGTTGGAAGTGTCACTTAGAGGCATATGGGAGTGCGTAGGACAATAGAAGAACCTTAAAACAAGAAAGAACACCTATAGGCCTATTACGCTAAGCAGTGGTGTGGCGGAAATTTGCCGAGTGATCATTTGTCAGACTGTGAGGGATTTTCTGATCAAGGATTAATTTAGATCACTGTAATAAAAGACTGTGATAATTGATAGTAGAAACTAACCATATTGATTGCCCTCTCTCTCTGTCTGCTCTCCAGCGGCGCGCAGGCGCGCCGCCTTATGAGCGCTATCGCTATTGCTTTTTGTATCAGGTAGGCCGCTGAGTATCAGCCTTGCCTAAGGGTACTAGGCCTTGGCGCTCGGCTCTGATCGGCCCGGATCACAGAATCCGGGTGCTCAGTCACACCCGTATGGTCTCTTTCCATACGATCCTTCGTCAGGGAGAGATCCTTCCCGTTACTTTAATAACTAGTCACAGCCACCCGCCATTCTATACCTATTCGTAGTCTCCATGCAAGTCTAGATGCCAAGTCTGCTAAACTAAGTGGCATAGCACGGATGGATTACCGCAGCGCTTGGCTGATATCACCAATGTTGTGTTAATGGCATTTGTTGATTCCCATTTGTTCAGGAAGCGCTACGAGCAGCGCACGGAGATGTCAGATCTGCCAAATCCTACGGTGGGCCTTACTGCAGCCAAGCTACAAGGCAATCGGGTTCAACGAAGGGGTCTCAACCTTCGCCCTGTTTCCTTCCACCACAGTGGCTTTCACACCCATTTCTCATTTAATCACTTATACGCTACTGAAGTCTTTGCAATCTTTATTTGTTTAGTATTTGAGAATTGGACGAGCAATATACCCCAAGACACGTCCACTGTGGACTATTCGGGCTTGGCGTGCAAGATGAGAAGCGAAGCCGTCTCCGGACAGGAAATGGCAGAAATGAGGTCAGTCTCGCCCAGATGAGAAATCAGACCTGGATTGCTCATACTGAAGCTCTAGTCACACAACAGGCTTGCTGAGAAGCGGCTATGCGAGTGCTGATCCGCGCGATGACACCTTTGGCGATAACAGTCATGATACGAATGTTGTCGAATTGGAAGACTACTCCTCTCCATCGCAAGTAAAGCTCCGCTATCTCATCCGACAGTTCCGGTTTCAATTCGCTTCCTTAGCCTTTTCTCGATGTACGGGCTCTCGTTGGAACGCAGATACCGAACGTCGCAAAGTAGTCATCCATCACAACAGGACAGTCGCCGCAGCGCATGGCTTACTGCACGTTATTCCTCTTTCTGGAGCTATCATACTGCTGGCGTTCCATTGGACGAGCTTTTGGGTCAATGAAAAAAACGACTACTCCACTGAATTGCAATTCGCAGCAAAGCTTCATGAGCTATCCATGCAGGCATCAATTACCGAGATTCTCCTGAGCCTTATTCGTGCAGGTCTTATCAACGGCCTTGTTCCACTCGGCATTTTATCAGGCGCTATGCAGCCCACTCAGCTGTCTTATCTATGGTCACTGGATATCTTATCCCTCTTTCGAGCTCGTGCATTACAGGGATGGCGAAAGATAGTCTTCGTGGTTGCTGTACCCCTCTTGTTCGCTTTGACGGCGCTGGTTGGACCGTCAAGTGCTGTTCTTATGATCCTACGTGCGGGTGTTCCACGCACAACATCAAGCGGAGCATATTGGGGAGTAGCATCTGATCAAGCTTCGTACCCTTCTCAAATTCCTATCACAAACTTTGACTTGTATATACCTTAACATAAGATAATATTAGATACTAAACTATAACAGTGACCTTCAAAAGCTTAATTTAACCCTATTGTACTCGGACATATACGAAGATAAGGGATTCTATGGGTCAAATATTATTTCGCATCCCGCTGAGCATTACTGGGTCTTAAAACGACTTCTACGGTGGACCTATAAGCACGAGCCCCTCAAGACCAGGGGTAGAGAAATTCGAGAGGTTAATGTCACAGTTCCGACAGAAGTTATACTCAGTGAATTGGGAAAAGGAAAACCGCTCGGGGGAAACACGACGATAACTATGGTGGCTCCACACCCAGTTGTAGGGACCCAGTGCTGGGAATCTAGCGTCAATAACAACAGCGAGTGGAATCACTCCTGGCCGTGGATATCACTAATTCCAGATCTTCCCACGTTAATCTCTAAATTATCGGATACTGTTGAACTTTCGATCTACGATTGGGAAGTGGATGAAGAATACTCCACTTTGGTCTACTTTAGTCCGGTCTGGATGTCATCACCAGAGCCAGTAGACCACCCATTGCTCGTAGTATTCTTCCGAGGTATAACGGATGAAATATGGAATCAATCCACGCTGGTCAAGCCTGGTCTGCTGTCGTCAATGATCGAAAGTCAAGGCTCTGATGAGTTCGTCACTGTCACTGTATCAGTGTGTGCTATTTCTGCGCATTGGAACTCTGGTGAGGTTCAAAGTCACTACAATGGGGTGTATACACTGTCCGCTACTGGTCAATCGTCATTAATACAGCAATCGGCATACCGGAAGATCTCGCTAGACATTGCTGGTGATCATCCAATGCGAAGCGCGAAGTTCCTTTCCACTCTCATGGGAATGCTTGAAGCACCACATCTCGTCAACCTTTGGCTAGGAGGTGTACTAGCTTCAGCTCTGGCAATCTGGCTCGCCAAGGTACCAACGTTGGCATCCGTTAAACAGCCGCACGGGCTGTACCCTTACGAATTCTTCGCAGATAAACCACCACATAAGAATATAGAGGACTATACTCCTTATAAGACGGTTTATACAACATATGGCTATGGCTATGGGATGCAGTCAACGTCCGTCCATTTGTCTATGGCGGTGCTACTTCTGTACTGCGTTATTACTATTGGCTACATGCTATACACATTCGCCACTGGCTCGGCCTCAACAGCTTGGACTTCTGGAGTTGAACTACTTGCACTTGCGCTCCAGTCCAAAAGGCCAGATCATTTGGGTCACATTGGCGTCGGGATCGACTCCACTAAGACTCTAGGTGAAAGTGTTGGAATCCGAGTCAATGCAGATAATGAAGTTGAATTAGTGTTTGCGCACGATTGGGACTTGAACACAAGGGGATTGCAGAAAGTTAAACAGAATACAGAATACTAATAATTATATAATATAACTACTATCAACTGGCTACTATGTAGATTTCCACCGACGAAAGTTAAAAAGATTGCCACTACCGCTCCCAGTGGACTGTAAGTACAAATCTAGCTCTAATTAAGGGCTACAAAATGAGTTACCAACCTTCCAAATTAGGTAAGTATTGGGAGAGATAATTACAGAAAACGATCCCGAAGGTGGAGACCCATTTACCACACTACATCAGAGGTAGCGCTGATCGATAGATCTAAGATACGTAGCTAAAGGTCTACCGCCTTTTCGGGGCTATATTAGTTACCAAGTAGAAACTCAAGATAAGACTCTTATAATGTCGATATGTAGTATAATATCTAAGACTTTACTCTTAAGTAGTTTCCCTGCTATAGTTTAGAAGCTTGTTTAGGCGCAGCAGCTCGACAGCCTATCTAGGACTATCCATCATGCTGTTCAAAAATCACTCCATATTATTCCACAAAAGCGAGCTGTCAACCATCCAATGTGGGAAACTGGCGACATGAAGAGGGCTTGTATATAGATCGTAAGAATCAACTTCGTAGAACACTGCTTTGCCTGTTTTCTCTAAGAAATCTGAAGAAAGAAAAAAAATGACACGGGTTGGTGCGGGACGCGTACATATAGTGCAGTCGCGGCGTTCGCCACCAAAAAAAGCAAAGCTCTCCAGCGGGGAATTGAACCTAGGGTGGTTGTTAATAAGCGAAAATCTTATGAGATAATCTGGAAGTACTTACCCCGGTCTCCCGCGATTTGTCAGATGACAAGCGGAAATACTGACCACTATGTCACTGCGTCGTCTACCATAATATCCGGTAATTTTTCCGTTCTGAGTTACAGCAACCCGTAGCCAGAGTTCTGTTTTCGGGTATATTAGCCTTATCATAGTAGCCAATGTTTCGTCGCTCTTTTGTGTTGGCCCTCTAGCGTGTTGGTGGCGTTCTATTCTTTAAAGCAGCATCGCAGCGTCTAATAATTAATGCTGACTGACTGTATACAATCATAACCCTCTTCTCCGAGAACCGAAATAGCTGGACAGCCAAGTCCCCACCAAAATCGCTTGCACTGATCAAGATGCAACAACAGCTGAAAGTGCAGCCTAAATCACCTAAAATCACATTTCAAACTGAGCAAAAAAATGATGAAAAACGTGAGGCTCTGTACTGATACAGATCCTTCACTTCTTGCAGTCGTTTTGGGTAGCTATCGATCGTTTTGTTGACTCCGAATTTGTTAAGTGCACGCCAAATCTGACCAAAACGCCGCATCCTAGCACGCTTTGTTGCACAACCACGCTGCCAAAATACACGGTGGATCGGTGAAACCCACGTCTCTATAATGCTAAGATCTGGTGACTTTGGTGTTGAGAGGATATAATCTATCTTATATGGCTCTATCCAGCGTAAAGTCGTCTTACTTACATATATGAGATGAATCCTGGTCCTACTAAAGAATATATTCACCTCCCTTCTCCAAAATATAAGCTTGAAGCTGAGGTAAAACGTGCTTAGTATATATTTTACTATCTATCTTACTATTGTCTGACGCTGTAGTATAGGGCAAAGCCCATGTAAAGTTGTATCCGACAACACAGAAGATGTGGAAGTGACTTTGCAGTTCAGGATCTGGCCTGTGATTCTTGTCGTACTGTATATACTTCGGTAGTGCTTTGTAAACTATCCAGGCTCACGCTTAATATCAAGCTGGTAGCGAGGGCCAGTCATCCAGTGGAGTTCATCCCACCAAAGCACGTTGCGCCAGTCCCTGGCATATGGTCTCTCAGTAAGATACCTGTCGATATATGCCTTTCTTTGGTTAATCTGTGAAGGACTATGAGCTTCTTTGGTAACAGCTTTGTGAGATTTGATGCCGGAGTGCCTGGTGACGCGGCGTTGGATATATTTGGGGTGCCATTGGATGTTTTGAGCACCGCGTTCATGTCTATATTCCTTCACCACAACAGCTCTCTCAGCCAAATCCTGCCAAGGATCACTCTTCTCATGAAAGGGAGCATCTCGGATATATGTGGTAATAGCTTCGGCATCTGATGTGGTAAAACGGGGTGGGTGGCCGTGAGGATCGTGATGGTCAGAATGCTGGAGACGACGGCATCGGTGGGTTGCAACCACGTCGGATGTAGTAGATTTTGGTATGCCAAATACAGTGGAAGTACGCTTAAAACTGCATGGTAGCTTCTGCTCTTGGCAGTAATAGATTATAGCGATACTAGCAGCGCGGCGGGGGGTATCAAGTTGCGGTGGTGCGTCTTCAGATTTGATCAGCTCCTGCGGCAGCATTGTGAGTCGTACACAGTCCGGCATTACGATAAACGTATTCGCGTACTAAAACTCACTACTTTTGTATATAAAATCAATATATTTACGTGCGTGGTAGTGGAGTATCAGGTGGTGGCTGGTGGTGGGTTGCACTGTTTTGGTGGGGGACTTAACTGTCCGGCTATTTCGGTTCCCGGGGAGAGCGGGGACAAATCTCGCCAGTCTATAAAGTTCTTTTTCGGCGTGTATGATGCCGATGCCAGTCACACAAACATGCCGACAATTTGTCTGCGCTATGCACTCCAGAATGGTTGGACGTGAGAGTTGCCGAAGACTTAATTTTTGATTTGCTGATCACATGCCGTAGCCATGGTTGCTGACTGTGGCTTTGTCTGAAAAAATGATCGGTTCGAGGCACCTGCCGTTGCGGCGAAAGTAACCACATATGGATCGCTTCGTCATCTATTGTTTGTTGGCCGAGCCTAAGATCCAGCGGCATTGTGAGATAGCATGATCGCACTATTTATTGAAATATAGGAGAGAGCCCATTCAGCATTATCCAAATATCTCAAACAATCTTCCAGGCCTTGCCATATGAACATAGCAAAATGGCAGATATTTCTTGTACTGGGGACAGCAACTGCCCCAATCATTTTCACCCCGACAATCAATTATATATTGCAGATCCAAGTCAGGGACATGTTAACAATGACCTCGAAATAGGCAGAAGTAGCTCCGCAACTGGCCCTATGATCAAAAATGAAGCGCAAAATTCACAGGGTGACCAACATTCGAACATCAAGGATGAAATTGGCTTCCGAAGAATAATCCGTAACTTCACGCCTTCGTATGTACATGTCCCCATGATTATTGTCAACTTCGCTAGTTAAATTGACTTGTTTGTAGTTGGTTCATTATTACCATGAGCACTGGAGCTCTATCCATCATGCTGCATCAAATACCATATCATGCCCACTGGCTGGATATTGTTTCAGAAATGGTCTTCGTCCTTAACATCCTGTTGTTCTTGCTCTTCACGTTCATTTCAACCCTAAGGTACACAATGTATTCTCGGTTGTTCCCAGCTGTTCTCCGCCATCCTCATCAAAGCTTGTTTCTTGCAACATTCCCAGTTGGCCTTGCGACACTTATTAACATGATCGTGCTTGCTTGCGTTCGTCCTTGGGGTCAAGGTATGGCGATCTTCGCTTGGGTGTTGTGGTGGATCGACAGTGTCCTTGCGGTGGCCACTTGTTTTCATTTAACTTGAGTTATGTAAGTTCTATCCTTTTTCATGTTATAGGTTGAGTCTCAGGGTCTAGCTCACAACAAACACAGATTATCCAATCGTCGGCATGACCTCGAAGAAATGACCGCTTTATATCTTATACCTATCGTTGCTATTGTCATTGCCGCGACATCTGGAGCGCTTGTAGCAGGAGTATTAACAAATGCCAAACATCAACTGTGGACGCTTGTGATTAGTTATATCTTCTGGGGCATCGGAACACCTCTATCCTGGATTATTATTATTATTATTATTATTATTTTAGTTTAGCGTCCTGTGTCAGCCGGTAGGCTATATAAGACGTGCAGGCTAGGCCTACAAGTATCTAC